AGGGATGATGAAATCTATCAAGGCAGTGAAAACGATCTGTAGCGAAAATAAATGGTTTGACAAAGATTGTATAATGTTCTTAAAAAATCAACTAGAACTCTGCAAAAAGAACAATTTTCATTTTGATTGTGTAGCCACCTTCATATATATGAAAAAGAAGGATAATAAGCTATTGAAAACTAAAAAATGTTCATACTTTCAGCATATATGTGATAATTTGTCAGAAAGTGAAATGCTGCAAAGCTTTTGGTCGGTGTAGAGAGAGGTAAGAGACAAGAAAACCAGTATTACCTATCTCAGAAGTCCAATGGCATGAATATTTTCAGAACCTCTACCCACCAAGAGCAGAAATTGATCCTAACTTTGTGGAGGTTTTTCATCCAATGCTCGACACCGAAATCTCCTCTGAATAAATCCAGTGTGCATTGATAATATGAAAATAAAAAAGTGGGTGGATCTGAAGTGATCTCTTACGAGCTTTTGAAGAGCTTGTTGCAAAACTGGATGCTTTACCTGCAGGTTTTTTTCAACAAGATAATGAAAGGATACCAGCGGATTTAACCAAATAGGCTAATATTATGATTCATAAAAAAGGCTGTATCCGGTCTCCTGAAAATTACAGTAACATCATTCTGGCTAATAGTCTGTTAAAATTTTTCACCCAAGTGCTTCTGGAAAGACTTTATATACCGGCATATGATACGAAGACAACTCCAGAATGTCAGTCAGGATTCCGCACTAGTAGAGGATTCATCAATAACATTTTTGTGGTGGCTTCTCTTTTTCAAATAATGCACTCAGCCTCAGAACATTTATATGCAGCTGTTGTGGGTTTTCGGAGGACTCTGTCAATTATAATCTATTGTGGCAAAAACTTTTTGAAAAATAGAATGAAAACCTTCATTTCAAAAGCATAAATTTTATGATTTTTTAAATTAATCCGGCATAACGAATTGAAGTACAATATAATTTTTAACAATTGCAAAAGGAAATTCGAATAAAATAAAATTTTATTGTTCATTAAACAGCGTTAACTAAGAAAATGGGGAAATAAAAAAAAACTGACAAGCATTACTTTATTTGCTATCTTCATCATCAACAGTATCATTCATTTATGCATTATATGATTTTAGATACTGTTTCCAATAATGTGGACAAAGCAACAGAAGAAGACATGGTGGAAGTTGTAAAACCGTGATTACAAACCGGTTGTTGGACACTCAAGAGGAACGTCACTTAAGCTTGCCAAACAATGGTAAATCCCTAGAGTAAGCATATTTCTCCTGACTCCGTATAAATACCCCTCCCTTACCCGCCTGGCAAGTAGTCAGACATTGTCACTCATAGTAGATAGTTAAATCCCATAGTTAGTTGTAATATTTATATTTGTTCATTGTATACTTTTTTGCCAAATACACTTTTTTTTTAAGTCCGAGTGAGTATCGAAAATTTAATTGTCGAATAAAATAAAATAATATCATCGACTTATTGCAAAAAGTCATTAAGTGACATTTGATAACCTTAAATAATTGTGAACTTTGTGAAATCAGAATATTATGCATTTAGTACAGCTATAAAGAATAAATAACAGCGTTGTGTCACTTACGGTGTTTTTGAATTGATGAATAAGGTAAAAATTCACAAAAAAATATTTTTAATTTAACCTATATCAAAAATACACGGCAAACGGCAAAACTCGTTATTTTCAAGATGTTATGATAATTCTCATTTGTATGTTTTTAATTTCTGACATAGTTAAATCATATATTCCTAGAGTGTAGGCATAAATAAAAATACCAGTTTTCAAGATTTTCAAAGAAATATAAAAAAAAAAAAAGCCAATTTCTATCACATTAAAGTTGTTACTTTTGATCAAATCCTCTCCTGGAAACCACACATCTCCCAAATTCTCCGTCGCACTATCTCCACACTAAAACAGTTCAATCGCCTAGGTTATCTCCTTCCATATAAGTCCCATCAACTCTTAATTTTCTCTCTTGTTTTGCCCCCACTTCGACTATAGCTGTATGGTGTACGGTGGATTTTCGGGAGATCTCGAGGCCAAATTTAAACGCTTAATGAATTGCTCATTACTATTTGTTTTCGGAATCTCAAGAGATATACATATTACCCAGTATTACACCGAGTTGAAGTGGCTCTATCCATCCTATCGCCGTAAGTGCTTCCTAGCTACCATTCTGTACCAGATCATTAGAACTCATCGACCCTCCTATATTTTCCATAGCTTACAATTCAAATACTCCATCCAATCCCGTTCTACTAGATCTCGCACTTCCGACCTCTATTCCCCTCCTTTAAACATCTACTCCTTCCTCAATCCGCCCAATTACGAAATATACCTAAGAGAGCTGTCTAGGTATTCCCAGAAAATGTTTCTGTTATTTTAGTTTTCTCTATTTGTATTATGTACGCTTATTATGTATGTATATTTACGCTTTTCATGTATTTTTCTCTCTTTGGGTCTGTATTTTTTACTATTAAATAACCAATATTGTAAACAGCTACTCTATTTATGACCATTTATACATGTATTCAGCACTTATAATTTTTTTTAAAGGGACAACAGTCCCAGAATAATAAAATATATTTTCATTTCATTTCGTTTCATTAATAATACAACTTGTTATAAATTATTATATTACTTTAAGCGTTTTTGCTGAATTATCAAAATATTTTTTGTTGTGTAAAAAAATATTTTGTTGTTTAATGTTGAATGACAAATAAGTTCTTAAGTATGTTATTTCTTAATATATTCAAAAAAATCTTATTTTCATAGGGTGACTTATCACTCAACGGTTCCTGGAATTTTGCTTTTCCATCATAAAGTACCTTATGCCAACTACCGCCAAAATCTTAGTGTAAGCAAAATGTTTATTAAATCCTCTGCTAATGAGGAATACAAAAATCAGCTACGATAACTTGAGGTTTTGATAATTATCTGACATCTTGAGTCAAGATAGCAATACCAATAACTAGCAAGAAACAATTTCTACCTGTAAAAAAAAAAACTAAAAGAAAATGCGAATGAAAAGATTGAAGAGAAATCATTTTGTGAATCATAATTGATACTGGGGTGTTGTACTCAGCTCACTACCATGTTTTTGGTTTTATCTTCATTTAGTTGTAAGTTTATTTCCTCTTCTTCTTTTAACACTATGTCCTCTTGATAGTGATATAGACAATAGATATTAATTATTGATTCGGTCAATAACCTTACACAATAAATTATCATCTCTACAAAATTTTACATGCAAAATGTATTTTATTTATTGTTGAAAACAATTAACAATGATAATAACGGTTGGTCTTACCAAAATGGTCTTATTCTATATTAATTCAGAAGGCCCGGCATGCTATAATAAATTCCATTTTTCATATAACTTGTCTAAATTGAAAGTTTCCCAAGATTTTTGCTGTTTTAATATCTTTTCCAACCATTGTGCGACGGCATACTAGTTGCCGCTATATTATAAGTTTATATATTTTAATTCATTGCTATGTCTTTAAATAAATAAATTGAATTTCAACAAAGACGTTTCTATTTATTTTTCCATGTAAAACAATAAATCTTTTTGATCTTATCAAAATAATGTCTTTCAGATGACCTTTTTTGGATATAAAAGAGGTATCTTTCAGGTATACTGCAGATAGATTTTAGATGCCTTGGAATGAGTCAAATTCTTAGACATTCCATATCTTGTTTAAGGCATCTGTTATCCATCTTTTAATCACTCTTTTGGTGGTTGGGATTCGTTACTTTTTCATGGTGCCTTCAATATGTGATATGTAAGCGTAAAGCCATTGTAAGTATAGAGCCATAATACCAAATACCCTTGATTCTGAGAGATTGTATTGTTATTATTCAAACAAATCTATCATCACATTTAAAAAAAAAAAAGATATTTAATAAACATAATTTGTCAATTCTTGAAAAACTATAAAACCTTCAAATTTATATTTAAAAAAAAAATACTACGGATAAAATCCTGTTCATTACAAGCAAATGTTTAAACAAATTTGCTTTAACACATTTGGTAATTGTTAGTAAAATTTACTATGAATATTTCAACTTGGTATAAGTGTCTGTGTTGGAGTGGTCGGATGCCTTTCACTCCCAATTTTACCAACAATCTACCTAGCTGTTTAAGAAAATATGGAATTAAATCCATTACCTTAGGGTGGGCAGGTTTATTCCCGAAGTCGGAATTGCATCAACTTTTACTTCAGCGTTTTTAGTTTTTACGTATTGACAATTTATTTACCACAGGTCGTTTACCAAGTCGTTGTCCGGCATCCCGGATCAAATATAATGTGATAAAATAATCACGAGTTCACGTCTCGGTGTCAGGAGGTACTTTTAACTCTCGATCCTCCCCTTCTTCCGGGGCCTGGGAAATCCCCGTATAGCCTAAAAGGAGAGGAAGGGGAGGACTATATATATATTTAGAATTTAGAATTATATAATTCTAAGAATTTAGACAATATATATATATCGTCCGCATTGTTAAAGTTAGAAATGTGTAACGTTGGGCAGGTTCACATACGTTACTTCAACATGCCGTCGATATGATCATAGTATATCAGTAATATTAAAATGAAAACATAATTACAAAATACGGCATATCTCAGCCATCTAACTTGAAAAGCGGTCAAGAAATCGTTAAAAGCGCTCAACCTACACAACTTTCTTACTTTTGGCTTCGCCGTAGCTGAGTAGTAAATAAGTCTTTGCTTGAATTGTGATAAAATTGAATATCAAGTGAACAATCAATGGTGTTGGTATGTGTAGTATCATTCTTAGGATACGGAGAAAATAAACGATCAGATTTGAGATATTTTTTCCTTTGAACTAGTTTCCCCCAATCCGGGAAGGATACGCGCCCCTCCTGGGAGGACCGAGAGGCGGGAGGTGGGGACGGGCGGCATGGAGTACGGAGGAGTATAGCTCTCTGGAGCCGCCTCACTGACCAATACCAACAATGTTCCTGCAAGTGCTAGCCGCCGCGGCTCTGCTCCTCCAAGTCTTCGCCTACGAGCGGCTTCCCTGGCACCAGTACTACAAGCCTTCCTTGCAGTAAGTACTAACCACCAGTACTACAGACCTACTTTACAGTAAGTACCAAAGAGCAGTTCTGCGAACCTTCCTCACAATATGTATCAAACATCAGAACCTTCCTTGCAATGTGTAAAAACTCATCAGTCCATACAGTCCGTCTCAATCTTTGATAAGAAAGATCACATGATATAGCTAAATTTTGAAAAGAAATTATTTCTTTTGGTACATATTACTAGGTCAGTTCAAGATTAATCGAAATTATTTATGTTCTATTGATGATGGATTTCTCCAAGTCCTAAATAAGAGAGTAATTGAGGTTTAAATATTTTAGACTTTTATATTTTATTTTGTATTTCAAATTTTAAATATTGTAAGGAATGATAACACAGAAATTAAATTATTAGTAGAAAAAGGCCTTTTCAATTTCGATAAATAATTGCTATATTTCAACTTTATCCAAAGTTTTTGAGATGAAAATTTAAATTACATGTAAAATCAGATTATCCCTTAAAATGCCTGAAGAGGCGAAAATTTGGATAAATTTGAAATAAAAACAATTATTTATCGAGACTGAAAAGGCCTACTAATACTTATTATAATCTCTTTCCCGAGATCATCTTACAAATATTAAATGAAAAAAAAATCTTTGCCGCTATTATTATGACCATAATTTTTAATAAAATAAAAATGTCACATTTTTTTCTAGTTTTCAAGTAATAACAATTAATATATCTAGGAAATAGCAGATGTGAAATTAATTGAAAATCAGTGGTATAAAAAAACAACTTTATAACATTTTTTTTGCTTGTACTTAAACGATCAATTATTTATTAATTTGGGAGTTTGTCACGATTTTTTTCTACGTGGTATTGACCTAATGTGAGTGATATTGATTGAATAAATTTATGATTTTAGCTCTTGATTAGAACAACCCTTAATTTGTTACTACTACAACCCTTAAACTCTGGAAGGAGTTTAGTTAATTTGGGTCTCTCTTAATGGATATTTATGCTCACTGTTTAGTAAACAAGCGAAAACAACTGAATAAAATAATGTTTTCCAGGTTTATGGAAAGAATGCTTCTAATGAGAAACAGCGGAAGAATGTACGATTTTTTCCATTTAAGTGTGAATATACCGGCTGAAATAAATTAGTTAATAACATTTCAAAAATAGATCCAAAAGCTTTGAGATGTCCAAATTGATTAAAATTCTTCAAGAATTAAGGGTTGTTTCAATCCAAGGCTGAAATCAAAAATTTATTAAAAATCCAAGGTCAATGCCAGATGAATGCAACTCGTGAGGAACGTCCAATGCAATACAGTTAGAAAAGTGCCTTATATTAAATTATTTTATATTATACTATTCCAGCCCTCATATTAAATCATTCAAGTTTTTAGGCTGAAAAGTGTTTAAATGTTGCTAAATAGGTCATCGATTCTCAATTAATTTCAGGAATTCTCACCGATGGAGAATTCCTGAAAGTTACGCTTTATAGCAAGCATTATTGTAACCAGAATCAAAAAGAAAACAAATACTTATTAAACAATACTAGTCGCTCATATTAGTGAATATTGGGCTTTTAGTCGAATTATCTTAAACGCTAATAAAGGAAAAACTTGAATAAAACAAATTCCTCAAAAATGAATAATAATAAAAAAATAGCGAATTTATTTCAATGTACTATACATAATTATAATTGTTATTATAACTATTTATAAATACTAAACCAAAATCACTTTAATTATCTTCAGTAAATAGTTAGTTTATTACATACTTAAAAAAAAAAAATTAGTAAGCATGTTCCCTTATGTATTTACATATTTTTATTCTTATTCTTCACCTTAGCAGCTTATGAAAATGCAAGCATAAGACACTACTAAGTGATTCGGCCTCTATCATACCGGCCACGAGGTTAAACAATAATATTATTTGAATGAGACTTTCCCACATCAACTACATCCTAGGTTTTTTCCAGTTTACGGAAGTAGTTTGGGTAGTCTAATGACGGCAAAATATCAGATGATTAAGAACGAGGAAAGACAATACCAATAATATTAAGCCAAGATATATTCAAGCATGGTTAAAAAACTGTAAGAATAGCTAAATCATTTAATTAAGTCCGACTTAATTTATTTAGAATAAATTAAAAACACTATCTTATGCTGTTTCATTCATTAAAATATTTTTATGGTTTTGTTCCAATGAAATAATTACTAAAATTCAGAATAATAGCGCAATCCCCATTAAACCTAATATTCGTATGTGTGGTCCGCCCAGCAATAATTATATATATATATATATATATATATAAAATGCATTCAAAAGATTGATTTTGAAATTGATTGATACCAAAATCACACCTCCTTCCGCCAAAACTAAACCACGAAAAATCAGCCATATAACGATCGTCCCACCTACGCCTCGGACGTTTACTATTCAATTCAGCGCCAAATAACATTTTAGGGATTCGTTTGTAATCAAATCCAATAACATAACAACCAATCATAATCAAAGTTCGATTAAACGTATTAATATGCACTGTGGTTAATTAACCCTCGTAATTAACAGTGGTTCAGAGGCGGAAAAAAAAACTTAAAATGAAAGTATTCCAATAAACTTTTAGTAATATATTATCATCCCTCGAGTGTAGACCAATAATTATTTTCTTCAGTTCCCCCAATTTAGTCTTTAAAAATACAAATTAAAGAAAAATTTTCAGTGATTTTACAAAAAGTTTCCGGATTTACTGATATTTTGAATGGATATTTTTAGGTCTTAATAAGAGAGAAGTTATTTTGTCTCAGTGGACTAGTGTTTATCGAATTCAAAAATATTTTAACAGTAAAGTGGTTAGTCTTTGTTTTAAATTTTTATAACTCTCTCAGTAAAATGTTAAATCTCAATTTTTACATTTTGAAATCGGTTCTCAAATCTTATAAATGTTTGGGTTTTAAAATTATAGAGCAATGTAAAGCCTATTACTATCCTCCCCACAACCAGCTTTGTCCTCAATCCAAATTGTTTAGAAATATTTAAAAAATGAATGAATAAGTAAATAATACAATAAATGAATAATAAAAATAAATCCACAATTCTCAACATATTTCAAATCTACACAATATTTTCTAATAAAACTTTTTAGGGGATAATCTGGCAAAAATATCATAAGCACAACAATATTAGCAATTTTAAAATAAGGATAAGTTTTTCAAAAGAGAATGTCAATTAAAAAAAAAAAAAAAATGTATGCTACTTTATTTAGATATATTGTAATTATTATAAATGTATATATTTAAACATTTATTAAGTGAGTTTTTATACAAATCTTTCTAATCTTCAAAATTTTCAACCAATATTGTTGACTAGAATTATTAGATTTATTTTTATTATGAATTTTTAATATTTAAAACATAATAACGAAAACGCACAAAGTTATCAATTTACCTTTAAAATAAGAATAAGAATACATAAATAATGACCATTATTCCGAAAATGAGGTGTTTTGCACCATTATGCAACGTTCCTACTTGTAATTATACATTTTTTCGCCTGAATTTATTTCAAGACCCACTTCATTGTCTGCTTTTATCAACGTTTTTGTATTTGGTTTAATATTTTTCTAGCAGTACCATATCATTGTTTTATTCTAGCATTTGTGGTCTAGCATTGGGTATTTTAATTTTCATATGGTGATTTCGATTTCCTCAAAATGGCTGCGTTACACTACTAAAAGAGGATAATATCTCAAACTCTTCAAATTTTTAGAGGTATGTAAAAAGAATATTGCAAAATTCACGAATTCCTGTATTTATTATGTAAACAATGTATCAGGTTATATAAAATAAAAAATAGGTTTGTCCAAAAACGCATCTTTCCATTCACAGGGGAGAGGAATTTTCGGAGATTTTCGGGCTAAAGCCTCCCAAAATGGTAAAATAAAACCATATTTTATTGGAAAAAAAATATTAAAAAATTATCTCTTAAAGTATTATCGTTCATGTAATTACATTTAATATGACTTTAAGAATCACTTAACACCATTTTATATAAGTAGTTACTTTATTTTTTTTTACAAAGTAATTATTGTTGTGTATATGAAAATAAAAGATTTCAGGCTGAAGCTCGCACCCTACCCGCCCAAAAAAAAAAAAATTAAAATTAAATTCTGAATCCTCTAGTGGTCCCATTTCAACTTATCAAAAGGGTTTGAATATCTACAACTTTCAAAACTACTTTACCGTCATTAAATACGACATCCCAATATTATACTTTTCCTGACCAAATCGAATCAATTACTAAATTTTAAGACAAGGGAGACATAATTTTCTAAAAGGAAACAGTTCCTTGTAAAAGAATTTAAAGATTTATAGGAGAAGATCTAGTATTCAAAGCAAAGCGAGGATGGCTGAACACAAGGTAAGGATGTCAAGGGTGTAAGCTTAATTAGTTATTGGTGGGAGAGGCAGAACATAAATAGGAAGTATTGGCGAAGAGCATACAGGTTGTCATCACTTTTATTGGGGTAATTTCTAAGTTGTTTTTTACATTTATTTACATTTATGGAAATCCCTTAAGATAAGGTCAAATCGACATTGAAAAAAGTTAAATAATATTTTCTCATATCTAACCATTTAGAAGTAAACCCCCTACTTTTATTATTCATTGTTAAGTAAACAATTTTTTGTTACGTACGATTACATGCTAGAACTCCCTGGTACCGCAAAACCCAGATATCCTAACAAAGTAAGCTGTACATCGTGAACTATTTAATAAGGAGGCTCTACAACTAGGGCTATTGAGAAAAGACATGAAGGCTAAGCTCGATACTCAGACGAAGAGAAAAATATTGATTAGAGCGTCATCAGATATACAGGCGCATCCAGGATTTAATTTTGAGGGAGGGGGGAAGCCTCAGCCCGAAAGCTTTTACTCCATATATATATATCTATATAACGATAATTAATTTGAAAAAAAAGAAAGAAATTAACTACCTATATGAAATGGTGTTTAAGTGGT